GTTTGGGGTCAACTTGGTTACGGCGCTTCAGGTAAGTGATGATTGTCCATCCCGTTTTTTGTTCGCCCCTATTAATATTGGGTGCGAACGGCCTTTTTACCATTAGGTCAGGCAGCACTACAGAGAGAACAACAGCACTACTTTCACTGGCTCCCAAATTCACTCACTTATAAATGGCAATTTTTAAGAGATTGGAAAAAACTAGGATTTTCTAAGTGGTCGGATCTATGGCTACTACCAGGAGCTTTCATCATCCCAATACGGTAACTGCTCAATATTTATTTTTTTGCATTTTTTATAAATTAGTTTTCTTCTATTAGAATCGAAGTGAGCAGTAGTGTTCTCCACCACGAAATGCCTGAATGGTGAGTCAGATGCTTATTTGAGGACTCCAACTCACTCCTGTGAGTAAAAGGTATTTCAAAGTGTGCACCACTGCCTCACTATGTTTCCTCCATCCCACTCAACAATCGTGCGATTCATGCATCTTAGCGAGAATACAGCCCCCTTGAAGTAAGTCCAACATCAGCTGATTTCACTAATTCGTTCTCAAACAATCATATGCCTCATCGAAACGTGAGCCAATGCACTGATTGAAGGTTGAATATGAAGGTGAATAATCATAGTATGTCAAGTGTACAGCACTTTGCTTCTTGTTTACGGCAGTAGCCAAAAGAATGGTTGTGCGTATGCAAAATAAAATAAATATTGCGCGGAATGTGATTTTTCCCTCTGTCATATACATTAACGAATAGCACACATGTTATTAGTGTGAAGCAAAGTGGATTGGGATTTGTGGTGGTCAATTGTTGGAATGGAATTGAGTGAAGCTCTCTCATAGCCCTATAATTCCCCCCCCCCTCTCAAATGCAATTTACTCTTCCTGCATTCAAAATCTTTGGCAACTAGTGCCAGTCTACTCGTTTCTGCCACGACTTAACGCAAATGTAATCAATCAAACGTATAAAAATCAGTTGCAAAACACGAGTTTCATACAGTAGTATTTTCAATGTAAACATTTCCACTGTGAGTCATTAAAAATGTGATATTCATTTATGATCGGAAAATGTAAACCGACGTATCATTTAAGCCATCTGTTCGTTGTTGGCTTCATTAACATTTGTAGTGAATAGTTGTCGTTATAGTTGCAAAAGTGTGTTTTCTGTTTCCTACTCTCGAGGGGCTCAATTGTCTTTTGGCTCTAAGTATCTTAAGGAAGAGTTCTTTGAGTAAAAGGCTGTGTTTTGTGACAGATAAAGGCACGAAAAGCACATTCGCAAGAGAAAAATTTACAAGACGCATAATTTTCTTCTCTCGCTTACTTAATATATATCCCACCTTTCTCATGGTGTTATGTTTTTCTTTCTCGCAATCGAACAAACTTTGGTATCGGTGCAAAGTATGTCGAAACCAACATGAAAAATGAGAAATTTTGGGATCAAAATAGAAACTCCGATGCAAATAGATGAAAAGTTATGAAGAAAGCGTAGAAGTATGCAAGTAATCTCTTATTTTCGAGGAGTTTATCTCTGTAGCTGGATGTTTCAGCACCCATTTAAGCATTTATGTCTTTTTGCGGTGGAAACATAGGCCAAACTTCCAGGACCTAATTTCAAAGTTAATTTAAGCTAGCCTGACTGAAGTATCCCAAGCAGATGTTTCATGGGAGTTAACAAAATTCAAGTGTGCACCTCAGGGGGGGGGTGATGGGAACTCACTAGGGGGAAAAATATATTTGCCTTTCAATTTCCATAAAGGAATGAAGTTTGAAGGTGCTCCATTAGTTTAAGCGGAAATCAGTCCCATTGGCAAATAGGACAATTCACTTCCAGTTAAGATTAGTGTTCATGAATTGGAGGCCTATCAGTGCACACACTGTAAGTTTAATGGCCAATGTCAATAGTTGAGTTTGGCTTAAGCAGGTGACGAAATCCGTGTTTCTCACTATGGAGTGCTCACGAAGCTTACCTAATAGGAACAATGCATTCATAATGAAGAATTTGAAAAAAAATCAAAATTCACCAGGAATTCATAACACTACAGTGGCTTTCACAATCGTTAAATTTGGCTACATCGAAACAATAATACAAGGCAGCAATAATGTTGCCAGGGGGCGACCGTGGCATTTGTAGTATAGGGAGGAAGTGTGGTCGTGAGCTGAGAGGCCTCTCAGGCAGCCGCCAATCAATGGCACTTGCATTGCGTGGCCAACACGCTATTGTACCTATTGTAAGACATACACAGAGGTAATGAATCAATTCTACGTCAAATGCCTATTTCCTTTGCGATAGCTGAGTTAATATTTGGAAACCATCCACACAATGGGTAGATAAAGAGGTTGGGGTGGGGGATGGAACTGAAGATAATGACGCAACAGCAAACAATAAAGCAATTTGATTTTAATCTTGTCGATACACGCGAGCATAAAAATAATAACAATTAAAAAGATTTCAGTAAAATTGAAGTCTAAATAAATTTATATGTATTTGCTAATGTGATGTTAAATGGCATCAGTGAAATGAAAATGGGATTTGAAGGAAGAAAGAGACAGGGAAGATTACAAAACAACAGCCTATTAATGGTAATGCTACGGGGCTTCAGATTCATTTAGCGGTAGACACAGGTTCCGACAACACGCAGGTATGCCTCGCATTTACTATCCTAAACCAGCTGATTTATTCCACGACAATGCTGCCATTTGGTGCAGCTTAGGTCCACAATCTGAGGTACCTGAAAATCAGGCTCCACAAGAGCATTCCAGATATTCGCCCTATCCCTCCACGATTCCTCCTCCACCTCTCGAGTGGATTATCGGTCGGCCGCCAAAGGCCTCATCTGTCGATGATTCCCCTATCATATTTGCAATCAACTTGAGGTGAGTGAACCGTCGTATTTGTTTGTTGCGAATTTTCACATTCGCGTCGTTCTTGTCTTTCTTGTAGATTGTTATAATTGTTGTAATTCTTACACTTTTTGACAATTAAGTTAACCTTGAAGTAAATAAACGCGATCAATTTCTTATTCAGTAAGTAAAGAAAGTGGAATGGGTGAATTCAATCGAGTAGAGTAGAGTAGAGTAGAGTAGAGAAGAGTAGAGTTAGGACACGA